TATATATATATATATATATATCTAAAATTTAGTATTAATTAGAATAGAATTACTCAAGAGAAATGTAGCACATTATAATCAAACTTATGTTTCCTTGGTCGCTAGGGACCAAACGGCAAATGTCATCGAAATCTGCTTAGGCGGGTACGTGTAGGTTGCTTACGGCTACGTTTTAAAAATATTTTGAAATATAGGATGTACAGGAAAAGCGTACGATCAAAGTTATGTATTTTTAAATGGAACACCCTGTATTTTACTGCATTTTTAAAATCTCCATACAAAAATAGGTGAACTTTATTAAAGGTTCTGCATACCTAGGACTTATTGTTTGTGAGACATTTCAATTTTACTGAAAATGCAGGCTTAGCGTAGAAATTTAATATTTGCAATAAAAATATAATTTCAAAGAAGCAGCTTTCGAGAGTGTATCTTAGATCCTTGTAGTTATAAATTATTATATTTGTCATCACTTAGTATTGTACAGGGTTTTCAAAAAACTACTGAATACTTTTCTCAATTTTAAACAGCAATAACTTGGTTATTTTAAATGAGACACGCAGTATATTTTTACTTTAGAAATTAGTAAATTTAAAACTCTTTCAAACTGTATATAGATTCCTTATATCTGTCTCTAACGGTATTGGAGATATTTGTGCCGTTTCGTTTTTTATCGAATTTATTTGTAAGATGTATCCACGTGTCTTCATCGAGGTCTTTATTGAATTGGTTTAGATTCTTCTTGATGACGTCTCTTTAAATATAAGTAGAAAAATAAGGATTTTCAAATCCAGTGAGAAATTATTTAAATCGAAAATTTAGTAATAAATGGATAAGTGGGAATGGTGCATGTCAGTGGCCACCTAGGTGTCCAGACCTCACCGTAATGGACTACTTTGTTTCGGGCTATATAAAAAATCTTGTACACAGTGTTCCACCTACTACTTGCGATGATATGAAGGGAAGGATTAGAGATGCATTTTCTACAATCATCCCAGATATCCTAAGGAATATGAAACATCATTTGAAGATAGAATAATATGCTGTATTCAAGAGAATGGTTATTATCAATTCCAACATCTATTAAAATTTTTCTGTTTCTTCTAAAACTAAAATTTCCTTTAATAAATGGTTTTCATGTGGTTCATAATGATAAATTTAATTCAGTTACGTGCAACAAACATATTTATACAACATTAATAACTTTTTATAATTATTCCGCATAAAAAATAATATTTTTTATTAGGAAACTTTCTTGAATATTGCTTTACCAATTCAATAAAGTATAGGGAACCTATAACACAGTTCGAAAGAGTTTTAAATTTCCTAACTCCCAAAGTAAAAATATACTGGGTGTCCCATTTAAAATAACCAAGTTATTGCTGTTTAAAGTTGAGAAAAGTATCCAGCAGTTAGCTAAGTGGCAACAAATATAATAATTTATAACATCAAGGATCTAAAATACACTCTCCAAAGCTGCTTCCTTAATACTATTTTTTTATTGCTAATATTAAATTTTTACGCTAAGCCTACATTTTCACTAAAATTGAAATATCTTACAAACAATAAGTCCTAGGTATGCAGAACATTTAATAAAGTTCACCTATTTTTTACGGTGATCTCAAAAATGCATACAAGGTGTTCCATTTAAAAATACGTAACTTTGATATGGTACGCTTTTCCTGGGTACCCTGAATATTTCAAAATATTTTTAAGATGTAGCCGTAATCAATCTACACGTACCTACCTAAACAGGTTTCGATAACATTTGCCGTTTGGTCCCTAGCGACCGAGGTGTTACTGGTGGCCCACCCTGTATATTTGTCTTGTTCTTGTGTTGAGTATAAAACGTAAACGTATAAACTATAATATAGTTTTTATTAGTGCTTTTGATACTACGTAATCACGTAAACAACTGCTGTTCCCTTCAAATCCTAATAAAAAAGGTTTCGTATCGTCGCGCCGTAGACTGTCGTCCTACCTGACTCGCACATATTGCTGGAGAAGAAGAAGCCATTGTTCGAACAGTATTCAGCACAATACTGTGTTAAGAAATTACGTGTTGTGGTGTGGATTTGCAATTTACTATTAGTGGCTTTTCAAAATGGAAGAAATAATAAATATGGAAGAATTAGGGATATTCTTGCGAGTAAGTATGTTAAAAGAAATAATTTACATTTTATATTTTTTCACAATTTTTTAAATTCCAATATTTTATTGAACAACAATAGCAAATAGCTTTTGCAAATAAAAATATTATTTATTCTATATGCTTCCCTATTTATGGCGATTTTAGCTGATTCCAGCACTGGAATTAATTTTTCCTAATCCTAATGAGCACGATATGCTTGCTGATGACATCTGGTTTCAACAAGATGATGCCCCTCCACATGTTCACCTCGATGTAAGAAATTACCTTAATGAAGTTTTCTCAAATCGATGGATAGGCAGAAGAGGGCCGTTTGAATGACCACCACGCTCCCCTGACTTAACCCTACTAGATTTTTTTGTAGGGTTATCTAAAAAGCAAAGTGTATGTGAACATACCAGACACTATCGAAGGATATCAGAGAAGAAGTTCGAAACGTAACACGAAATGTTGTAATATGTAATAAAATAAATAGTAGTACTAAATTGTTGTTTTCATTTAAGTCCTCCATTTTTTGCCAACTATGACAAAAAAATAGGTATAACCTTATATCCCTGAATTCGTCTTTAGAAGGGCTATTTATACTATAAAATATAGAGCGTCCTATTAAAAGAAAATGTCGGTAATGTTATAGATCTGACAAACATGCCTCAAAGAAATAGAAAATTTTGCAGAAAAGTGACAATTTCTATTTACTAATTGACCTGTTTCAGCGATTTTTTTAAATCTGAACTGGAAAAAAATACGAATTTTATTCCATCATTTTGGGACACAGTGTATACATTAAATCAAAATCAAGTATTATACTCTTGCAGCAAGAAATTATTTTTTTTTTGAGTGTGGGTCTGTGGCAGCTCTTTTGAAAGGCCTTGTAATTCTCTAATGAACCATATCAATAAATTTAGGTAATAGAATTTTGTATAGTGACAAAAAAATATAAAATTAAAACAAAAAATGTAATTTTAACTCAAATTACAATGGATTTGCAAATTGACGACACTCAGTTATAATACAGTGAGAAAAACGAGTAGTAAACTATTCTCAAGCTTGGTATACTTTACTTTTTAAGATCCTCATAAAAAGAAATCTAGAAGAATTAAACCTGGAGAGATAGGTGACCATTCAATTGATCCTCTTCGCCCTATCCCACCTATCTCGAAACACGTTGTCCAAGTAGTTGCTTATCAATACGGCATAGTGTGGGGGTGCACCATCTTGCTGAAGCCACAAATTATTTATTTTTGGAAATAGCCGATTCAATTCGGGAAGTAAATCGTCTTGCAGAAATTATAGATATCTAGGATATTTAAAGTTACTCCGAAAAAGTATGGTTCTGTGATCTTATTAGCTATTATTCCGATCCAAACATTCATTTTCCCTGGGTACTGAGTGTGACACTCCTGCATCCAATGTCGATTTTTAGTTGTTCAATACTGACAAGTTTGACGGTTTACACCACCATTTGGGAGAAATGTTGCTTCAAGAGAAATAAGGGAATATTTTTAGAAAAATCGGATTTCGGTTAAATTTTTCCATTAAAATTTCACAAAATTCGTTTACCAAAATCGTCTTCCAAAAGCTTCTGAACTAAGGTAACTTTGTAAGTATGCTACCTTTCCTTTGTTTAGCATTCTAAGAACTGTTGAATAATCAATATTTTTATCTAATGCTACTTGCCGCTAACTGGTGTGGGGCTGTTCTTTTAATGCTAGTAGAACATCTAGTTTCTTAATTTTTGGTATTTGCTTCCTACTACTTAGGGAGGTCCTTTACATGACCCATTTCTCTAAACTTCTTTTAAATTTTGCTTACTGTGGATTGAGAAACTGGTTCCCGGTTAGTGTATTTATTATTAAATAAAGTACAAACTTCTCTTTGAGTTTTGGTTTTGTATCCACAACCAATCATTATAAGAATTTCAATTCTTTCCGTTTCATATTTATAAAAAACACTTAAATATTTCTACTATATCAGCTTTAACTACTTGACAGAAAAGTGAATTAAGTCTATTTGAATGTAGCCTTATTGATAATACATTTACATTTTTTGAAAAGGCAAATCACGTAAGAAACTTGTAATGTGTGTTTCATTTTACGTGGCGATCTTTATCCCATTTACTTTTGTGTATGATGAAAGTGAATGAAAGAAGCAAATGAATGAAACAATGAAATGATTTTTGAAAAGGATGCATTTAACCAATCTTATTAAAAAATGTAGAAAAACATTGATAACTGTAAATCGTGAGCAGTACAATGATGATAATAAGTTTCAATATCTCAATAATGTGTATACATATCTAGTGTAAACTAATTATATAGTTGTTGAAGCTCCCACAATATCCTCATCAGCAAAAGGTTCTTAGGCAAAAATAAATCAGAAAACACACAAAAGATAAGTAACATTTAATTGTACTTGCTAGCTGTCAATCTTTTTTCATTTTTTTTTTATTTTCTAAGGAAAGCTGAAGAAACATTATTTCTACTTCCACCTAGTCTAAGACTTTTTAGACGAGGCACGTGTATATAAATTTCATATGAAACATTCCCAATTTAATTCTTTCCAATAATTCTCGTTACATTCGTTACCTAAATTGTAGATTTTAAAATAAAAAAGTTTTAAGAATTGTTTTAGGGTGTAAAAATATAATTATCCATGTTTAATAAAATTATTATCATCATTACTGCTTCATAATAAAAGTAGACTCACCTTGGCTGCGCCGTATGGAACTAAATCTAGTTGTAAGGAATCTCCCAATGTTTCGTATCCCGGATATAACTGATCCTGAATAAATTCGTGACAGTACGGACATAAAGCTTCATAATATAAGGTCACTTTCACAGTCTCCTTAAAGCAAATACATAAATTAATATTATATACATTAAATAATTGAAAGAAATATACATCCGAGATAAGGCCACCCAATATTGCACTACTGGTACTGTCAACAAAAACTCCCTAAATCTTGGCTCCACCAATTTTAATGATTCGTTTACAATGAACAATGGCAAAGTGTTGCGTCTACGCGATCGCTGATTGGTTGATAAAAATCTCGTGAAAAATTATACCAATCACCAGAATGTTGTGTTTTAATATAATCTTGATCTTACCGTTTTAATTTTACAAAAATTTAATTGCCAACATGATGGACATAAAATTACTGTTCCAAACAAAATTACTGATTACGTAGCCTGTAATTATTTATGAAGGCTCTGTATATGGATTACAGTGTTTTCTAAAGTCCTCCTTTGGCTATTTTAGACCAATCAGAATTCAAGGATCTAAAATCACTGGTTTTCGAAGTTATAAAAAAAGACCCGAGGATGTTTGCATTAGATTTATAAAACTTGAACTAATAACCCAATAATTAATTAAAGATTAAAAATTCACTAAAATGGTAAAAATGGTATATCAACCCGTTAGCTAGTAGCGGATATATTAGAAGACGCAGAATTGTAAGACCAAAATATTGACACTAATGAGTTATTAAACAAAAAAATAATAGCTCAAAAGTGGCTAGTTTTCCGAAAAGTTAAATTTCCAAAATACTCAGTGGCGTCGAAATTCTTGGTTTCTTAGGACTGCGCCTCCCTGTAACAGTTCATTAAAATTTTTAATTTAATTTATTGGGTACATTATTTGACTAAGTTTCTTGTCAAATATCTTCCAGAAATATTTTTTAAACGGCAACAAAACTAGTAATGCTAGACTGTCGATCCATTAAGCCTTTTAGTCTAAAATGAACTACGAAACAACCTCCTGAAATTATGACACAGACTTCCAAATATCCATTCAAAGTCTTGAAAAAAAAAAATAAAAGTAATTGTTAAAACTTTGTATTGTTTAATTTCATAGAATCTAGTCTATTTCATCTTTTTTTGTAATGAAAATTCACATTCAAAAATGGGTACCTACTCTAAGTGTTTAAAAATATAGTTTTTGTAATTTGATATACGTTGTTATAAAGCGGTGTGCAATTTTTTGTTTTAACTGTTAGGAATAGATTTTAATTAAATCTGGGAGTCATTTTAAAATTATTAAGTAGTTTAGTTTAATTTAGTTGATTAATTATTATTGTGTAGTGTAATTTAATGTTTTTTTTAAATGGCGCATGAATTGATCAATAGAGCGGGTCAGTAAAATATATGTTGTAACCATAGAGTATACGAGTAGCATAATTAATATAAAAAGTACAGGAACGGATTCATGATCAAAAAATAAGCACAGTATGATCTTATAATAATCATGCTTTAATGCCCAACAGAAATCCATTTACAGGGCAATTTATAAACAAAACAATGAATACAATATATAAATAGACAAAAAATATAAATATATCTGAATGCATACAAATATTCTACTGTAATAAATGATAGTGAGTACATTTAATATTAAAATTATAAAGATAAATACAACTAAAAGCTAATTACCATACTCTTCAACGACTAAATTCGTAAGGCTATTTAATGAACAATAGAAAATGTCACATGGTTGCTGTAATCTATCAAAGTTGCCACACATGACGTGCACAGGTGATCTCAGTAAAATGTTAGATCTAGCCGGATTACATCTAAAGGTAACGTATTTCTTGAATTTAGTCTCGGCACATAAAAATTTATAGCAGAAAGTAATTCAGAGCAGTCAGATTGTGTAAAATTTTATATAAAAAAAGATACTGAAATACAAATTCTTCTTGTCTCTAAGCTGGTAATATGAAATCGACTAGTTAACACACTGTAACTTATACCCCTCTCGGGGTAAACACCAACATCTTTAAATACCAGATACTTCAAAAACTTCCTCTGAACATGTTCAACAAGAGTCTTTTGTATATTATAAAAAGGATCCCAAACAAGCACTGCATACTCCAATCTAGAACGTACATACGCAAAATACAAAGTTTTAATAGCATTTATGTCTGTGAATTGCTTACAGTTTCTTAATATAAATCCATAAAATTTTTACGCTTCATTTGTTTTAAGGACTACATGATCAGTAAAAGAAAATTTTGCGTCAAACAATACACCCAAATCCTTGCAAGACTCACACCGGGATAATACAATATTATCAATACTATAATTAAATTTATGGACAGACAACTTTCTGGAAAAACTCAAGATTTTGCATTTGGCTGGGTTAAGATGTAATCTATTTTCAACACACCAGGATTGTATATTGTCAAGTTCTCTCTGCAAATTATTACAATCTTCAAGACTAGTTACGGATGAAAATATTTTTAAATCATTTGCATACAATAACTTACGACAGCTAATTACTTCACTTATATCATTAATGAACAAAACAAACAGTAACGGACCAAGTGTAGAACCCTGAGGTACTCCAGAGGTTGCTACATAAGAGTTAGAATCAAAACCATTGTAACTAACATATTGCATTCTCTTGTATAAGTAGGACTTAATAAAATCTATAAAATCGTTAGAAAAACCAAAGATTGCAAGTTTATAAAGTAAAACCTTGTGATCTATCCTATCAAAAGACTTCGAAAAGTCTGTATACAGCACATCTACCTGTCCTCTATTATCTAAAACTTGGGTGACATATTCAGCAAAGATAGCTAAATTGGTAACAGTTGACCTACCATTAACAAATCCATGCTGGTATGGAGAAATTAGGTTATGGACAGAAAGATAGATACGATTATACAGAACCATTTCGAAGACCTTGGAAAAATTAGAAATAATTGATATCGGTCTATAGATTTTCAACTTTAGACTTGTCTCCATTTTTAAATACAGGACAAACTCTGGCCTCCTTCCAGCAATTTGGAAATGTTCTAGTTTTTAAAGCTAGATTAAATAGTCTACATAAGGGGCGGGCTAAAATTGCAGCACAATCCTTCACAATAAAGGAAGGAATATTATCAGCCCCAGACGTCATTTTGTTTTTTAATTTCTTAATAGCAACAAATACCTCAGTTTCTGTAAATGCATCTAAAACAATGTTATTGCAGCAAGAAATAGAAGAATAATTCAACACGTCATCATCCGATTTCAAAAAGACACTACTAAAAAACTCAGAAAAAGCATTTACAATATCAGACTGTGTATTATAGTACCGATTGTTATATGAGACTTCCCCTGGTATCCTTGAGTTCCCCATTCTAGATTGTACATAAGACCAAAAATATCGGGGATTTTCAGATATAGATGATTGAAGTTTTTCTATATAGTTAAAATAAGCAGTATTTATTTGACTCTTAATTAATGCTCGCACTCGTTTATATTCTTGGAGAAAGAAATCTCTCTTTGTCTTTTTATACTTATTGAAAAATTTTACCTTAGTTTTTATGTTTTTTATGATATCCGAGTTAAACCACGAAGGGTACTTATGTTTAAATGTTTTATACAGTGGCACATTATCGTCACATATTTTGTATAACTTGCAATAAAATTCGTCTACAGCAGAATCAATATTGCTAAATTCAGACAAAAACTCCCAATGACATATCTTACGAATCAATTAAAGAAATTTTTGACAGCCGCTTTTTGCATTTCTTAGTTAATTAGTTCCATTTTATGGTTCTAATTTTTTTTAATCGATGTCGCTACAGCTAATTTACAAATTGTTTATTGAAAAACAACATTGTCAAGTTTTGAGTAAGTGCACCAAGTCAACACTTCCGCTTTTTTACTGAGCTAGTGCTAGTTCTTGTCTTAATTGGTAAATGTTTTTTTTTTAATTTTCTTTCAAGTCCTTTATTTATTTGTACCAGTTTTACACCTATTAATTTTGTTTAATATAAGTTCCGAATAACCCTGTAGAGAGTTGAAATATTGTCCTATTATTTTATTTCTTATTTGTATTGAGAAGTATCTGTACAATTTTGTGAGATGTTGTACCACCTTGCATATTATCATCCCTTTTCACAATTAGTGTATAAATATACTTTTTTTATGCACATTGGATTTGCACAATTTTTTCTATATTTGATTAAGGAAGGATAATGAAGAACAGTTTAATGATAATTAAAAAAATGTGTTTCAGAGTAAGTACCAGAAATTTGAATGATCCTGAATTTTAAGAATATTCATATTGTATGATAGTAATCAAGGCAAAATGTGTAGTGTTATTCCTTTATAATTTAATTTCAAAGCTATTTATGAAGAGATTATAAATTATTTATATTTTACTGATTGCATTCACAAAAGTATTAGACACAACATATTTGACCTAAAATTTAAGGGAGATTTCAAAATAATGATAGAAAGATACAAGGAGTTCTATTTAAAATGATATAGGTAACATATTGTTTATTTAGAAGAAATACAATACAATTCGTACGCAAAATGTAAAATATATAAAATTTTGAATGTTGCAGTGTATTTAGTAGTAATTACCGTAACCGTATTATAAACATAACAAGCAATTTAAAATAATTTTGATATAGGTATTATATTTATTTAAGCAGCAATTCTGCTAGAAACATTAAAATATTTATCTTACCTGCGAAGTTAAACGAACCCAAATACAAATTATAAACAAAAGCGCTATTCTCGCAACAAACATTTTATTTAGCGAACCTATTTGGTACTAAGTTATCGTAAAAATAACGTTAAACCAGCTAAGAGCGAGGGTGATAGGTCAAACTTATCATTTATATTTGCTCGTTTCAATTGTCAATTTTGAACAAACATGTTTAGTTTATTAAATATACCCAGAAGAAATATCTACTAGGATAATATATTGTAATATATTATGTACGGAACACGAGAGAATATTTGATATACAAGGTGATATACAAAGGAAAAAGCGTAAAATTTTTATTGGCGGAAAATACTCTAAAAATAGTCAAAAAGTTTCATATATTTCATGTTCTAAAACGCAACGTTAGAAAAGGAGTTAAATATTCGTAAATAGTAATTTTTCATGTTGTAATATGAAAATGAAATGTATACGAAATGTGGGATCCTATAGAGCATCTTTGAGATGCTCTAAAAAAATCTGTTAGACGTCATTTACTCGCACCGCAAAATCTTCAAGGGCTGGAAAACGCTGTTCTTTTGGAATGGGAAAATATTCCTTAGGAAAGTACCTATTCAGCAGCTAATAAGAAGTTTACCACGACGAATGCAGGCAGTTATACGATCCAGAGGCGGCGAGCGATTACTGAATAAACTTGTTTCATTTTAAATTTACATTGTTAATCATGCATAAAATTGAAAAAGGCGGCGGATCTCCTTTAATAATAGAGATAATAAAGTGAATAAAAAAACAAAATGTTAAGGAAAGATGGGGCTACAATTTGATTTCAATTGCGATATGTTAGAGTTATTGGTATACCCCACATGGTGTTACAAATTTACGAAAAAAAAACACATTATTTTTATTACGCCCGGTATAAACCGAAAATTAACGTTTTATCAAAAACAAGAAGTATAGTGACATTGTCAAGAAATAAACCTACAATGCAAAAAAAATCGTTGACATTGGACTCCAGGTTGCGAAAAAAAGTAGTAACAAAATTTCGGTAAATTTATAATTTAGGTGCGTTAATTTTGAACAGGAGTTTAATTACCTACCTACCTATTCTTAGCAAATTTATAGCTTCACGAGTGCAAACTTATATCGATCGAGTCAGTATTGTTTTGTTTACCCTTTTTGGCTCATATCTTAGCTCGCCTTACTCGTTTGTGAATTCCCTGCGTGATTATATGAATATACTTTTAGTGGCGGAATATTTATTCATAAACAAGTGTTATTGCAACTGCTACGATTACACAGTAAATAATATATTTTAAAATATTCATGAATTATGAATGAATGAACTGAATTAAGTAAAATTTCTTCATTTTCTCAACTAAATATGATTTAATTAATTTAATAGCCTGATAGAGACCTCGAAATGTTTTTAAATAAAAGGTGTTGAGAAAAAAAACTTTAATATGATTTAATTGATAATATTATTGATAATGATATTATCTGTGAAGTAGGGAAAATAAATCCAATGACATTAAAGGCCTGGTAAACTTACCACGATGGAGTTTTAAGTATTTATATCATCATGCCATAAAGATTCCCACTTGCGGTTTTCTATTTCCTCTTTTGGTTTTCTTGTAATGACGACCATTAGTTCTGGGTCACCTTTAGGGACTATAATAATTAGAAAGGGAAAAATTTGAAAAATTTGCAACAATAAGTAAGAAAAGAATAAATATTGTGATATATGTTGTATATTCGAGAAAAATTATTTACTTTCTCGGTGTGGTAGCCCTGACAAAAGACAAAACTAAATTTAAAAATCCTGATACTTTTGGCAAAAGGGGTTTGTATATTTAAATTGAGTTCCTATTATATACAGTGTGTCCCAGAAGTAACGCAAAAAATTCGTATTTTATTATGTCAATTAGTAAATAGGAATTGTCATTTTGTCACGTTGTTTAAACCTTTTTTGCGCTATGTTTCATAAACCTATGACGTCATCGACATTTTTTTTAAATAGCACTACCTAATTTTTTAAGCATAAATGGATAGTCCTTTTGAAGGGAAATACGTCGATATAGGGTTTGGCCTACTTTACTTTAACAGGAGCGAAAAAAAGCCAATGACTGGAATGGACATGGTTTAAAATAACAACAAAAGTAGGTATCATAAACTGATGCNTAGGGTTTGGCCTACTTTACTTTAACAGGAGCGAAAAAAAGCCAATGACTGGAATGGACATGGTTTAAAATAACAACAAAAGTAGGTATCATAATCTGCTGCGAGAACAGTGCCACGGCAAAAAATGGAAATTTGTAGATGTTTTGTGTTTTGGTTGATTGTAGGTACGTTTTTATGTATTGATATGTTGGCGTTTTCGGCGATACGACGAACGGCAGTGTGTGGATTTTCAGTGACAGCTAAAAATAACATTTTGCCTATCATTTTCTATCACTGTCGTTAACCTTCCAGATCTAGACAGATCTCTAACATGTCCAGCGTCTTCAAAGTTGCGTACTAATGTGCATACCGTAGACGAAGTTATTGGTTGTTCTGGATACTTGGCCTTGAATAAATGACATACTTCATCATAACTACGGATCCTATCTCCGTATCCAACCATACATGATATGAGGCACTATTGCATTCGCTAACTGTCGTCTTCAAAACAATACCTACATAGCCGCTGTGACGGGCTTGGTTGGTATTTTCGTCGTTCGTCACTATGACGCCTAAGCGGCGGTAGTTTCCTCGGGCGCCAGTTTCTGTTTAAAGTGCAGAAACACCACTACGCGGGCGGCTGCAGTGAAGACACGGTATGTCCAGAGGGTCGAGAGAGAGTTAGACTTCACATAGGAATAAAAGTCACACAGTTGGTATATATTTACATTTATTTAGTCCAATTCTACCTATTTACACTATGTTACTCTACATCTATTGCTAAACGGTGGCAAATGGCTATGGTTATATACAGGGGGTTACTACGAAGAATGGTGAAATAACGGCGCGGTGTTAAACGGTGACCTGACGAAAGCAATGTATACAGAATTAGCGGCACTAGTAAAACAAGCGTGAATATGACGGCGTGCAGATAACAGGGGGCGGGGTGAGGAAGCAACAAAGCTAGCAAGAGCCAAAGGCTATATATACACTACAGGCTTGGCTACTATCTCTAAAATAAACAGAAATACAATTAGAGAATAATAGGTTTCCTTGGCACTGGTATGTGGCTGGCAGGCTGAAACAGACAAAAATCATTAGCGCCGACCTGCGTTTCAACTCATAGAGCGGCTGGGGGGGGGAAGCAACACCCTATGACCTGAACGCGCAGCGGGGTCAAGTACACCGGATAATGGCAACAGTGCACCCAACCACGGAGTCGGACGGACGAAGAACAGTATGGTTAATGACGACCTGCGTTTCGACTCATAGAGCGGATAGGAGGGGGGAGCGACACTCTATGACTCGAACGCGCAGCGGGGCTAAGTACACCGGATAACTGCAACAGTGCACCCAGCCACGGAGTCGTACGGACGGATACCTGGAAATACAAAGTATGATTAGTACAAACGGACAGTAGCCAAGTCTTTTACCTATACTCCCTAAACCTTTAACTTACTTCCTTCCCTCGACACGTCTGTACTGTAGGAGCGGTAGAACGGAACTAATTCTTAGTGATGGGAGATTTCGAGTGAAAAATCGAGTGGTACTCGATTATTGAGATCACTCGAGATATCTCGAGATGTTTACTCCCACCACTCGAGTGATTATTACCCTACGGTTGCACCCCAAAATGTTGGTGCATACTGCAAATAGTCACTGATTGCGTAACCTTTTTTTAGAATAAAACGAAAAAGTGGTTAGGTTTTGAAGTGTGTGAGCTTTTTTTTTTTAGCTACACTTATAAGTAATATATGACTAATACAAACATATTTGTGCGCCGCTGGGATGAAAACGACCAATATCTCGTATCTCGAGTGATCACTCGATTATTAGAAGTACTCGATTACCGATAACTCGATTATCAAAATTGGTCGATTATGCCCATCACTACTAATTCTGCAGTGCAAATACCTCGCCAGGTCTCTTGTCACCTCAAGAGACTTGCGCGTTGGAGATGCGCGGAACCTAACTTACTTCCTTGATGGTCGGATTGGACGGCCTCTGGTGATGACAGGAGATGGAGTGGTTTCTGGCGGCTGCGCGGTTCTGCCAGGCTGGACTTAGCAGAATCTCACCAATTCCTATTGGTGACGTAGTTGGTGCTGGAACGGCTCGACTGGTTGCGACGGCGGCTAGCAGGGAACTGAATTTCCAAATTCAGCTTCTTTCCTAAGTTCCTTGTCTGGGAACGGGCGGCTGCGCGGTGCTGTCAGGCTGGACTTGTAAAATTTTACCTACTTCCCGCGGTGACGTCTCGGCTTGCTGGAGTTGTTCTCAGGCTCGACTGGTCGCTTCGGTGGCTCGTGAGGAACTGAATCTCGGACGGCAGCTTGTTTGCTGTATTCGTACGGCGGATCCTGGCGGCTGCGCAGTTTTCCTCAGGCAGGATTTAGTGAAATTCTTACCAATTTCTTACTGGTGACGTAGGTCTTACTTGGAACGGCTGACGGCTCAACTGGACTCTACGATGCCTCGTGGTGAACTTTTTCTCTGACGGTGGCTTAATTCCTAAGTCCTGGTGACGTTTCGGCAGCGGCTGCGTAGTTCTCCTAAGCGGGACTTGTAAAATTCTTACTCAGGCGATGACGTATCGCTGGCTAGACGGCAGGCTGGAGATCGGCACGACTGCTTCCTTCGCTGGCAGGTCGAAGACTGACGTAAGCGGTGTGAATTTTCAGGCCATCGGCTTGACGCTGTGCGGTGACGGACGGCGTTTGAAATGCCAAAAATAATGACGGTGCGGTAAATCATATTTATTAATAAAATAAAAAGAACACAAATGTGGGGTGTTGGAAAATTACTTCGTTACACCGCTATGATCGGGTGTACCTACCAAATCTACATAAAAACATGTACCTACAATCAACCAAAACACATTTTTTGCTATAGCACTGTTCGCTCATAAGTTTGTGATACCTACTTTTGTTATTAATTCAAACCATGCCCATTCCAATCGTTGGCTTTTTTCGCAC